ATCAACAGGTGGTGTTCTCCAAGTTACAGTCCGACAGATGGCCCAACATATCTAAGGTTTTGGAGAGGATCAGACGAGTCGTTCGAAGAATGGTGACATCAGATGCTAAGGACAACATGTTGATCGAAAACGAGTTTTTGACGCCGCGGCATCAGACAGTGGGGGTTAATCTTTCCGCTGAGGTTCCGGTCCCGTTCGTTCTCGGCCTCGAGATCACAGATAGAGCACCTTTTTTGGTCACGGTTGCCCAAGAGGGAAAGTATGGTGCCCAGTGTGGTGTGGTTAGAGGAGATGTCCTGCATTGCATCAACGGCAAGGCATGTGATCGTATGGATCTCGATGAGCTTTTGATCGAGTTGAGGCAGCGTCCGATGAGTCTCTATTGTCGTCGATTTGATCACACAAGGAAGGCACGACGCCCACCTGGAGGCCCTATCACATTCAACAGGCTGTTCCGGGGACGGCCAGTTTCGGGCAGAGCTGAAAAAGCTGCAGCGATACACTATCAGAGACAACGTATGGGCATGACGACGATAGACACTATCCCATCAAGGCCCTCGGCGACTCGGCCACTAGCCAAGTCGATTCGTCCGTTGAGGCATCTGAACCGAGCTGAGGAAGTGCATGGACCAACCATAGATCCTGGACACTATCCACAGTCCTCTAGTGATACTCGATCGGAGTCAGTTGAGCGTGGTCGACGATACGATGGCTCACGAGAGCACGACAAGTCACAAGTGGCCAAGCAGGATGGCAGGGATGGGGTATCGGAACGCATTGGGGGAGCATCTGACGCTAGGAAGGGACAATCAACAAGTCGTGCCCAGGATCCCCCGAGGTTGCAAGTGCAATCGGAATCTGCCACCGTGAACGAGCATGCTGCGACTGTTAGCGGTAAGGCCCCAGGTGTGAAGAGAGCCGAAGGCGCGACAAAGAGGGAGGCGAAAAGCCCAGTAGCGCCTGTTGGTACGGCTGGGACGGACAAGGCTGGCAGATCAGCACAGAAGTCTGCTTTAGCTTCGAAGTCTTCAGCTGCTAACTGTAAGGACGGAGCGGAGCGCGTCGGGAAGATCACTGTTGATGAAGCGAATGATTACGATGAGGACTTTGAGTCAGACAAGGAGAGTTTGGATGAGGAGCATCGTGAAGGCGGAGCCCTGGCAGCAGTCACGACTCACCAACAGGCTGACTCGTCACCTCCAGCCCCCACTGGTGACGCTCACGTTCAACCGAAATCAGAGGGCATTCCCGGCCCTACGGATACGGCTAGTACTACGGCCATTACGGACGAGACTCAGAAGGCTGTTGCTGGTGGCAGCATAAGCGCGAGAAAGTCGCCGCCATCCTCAGACGTTGGTGATGTCCACGCCTCACCAGTGAGCGATATAGAGAGCATTGATGGAGATGCTAAAGTCGAGACCGATTTCGAGCCTAAGGAACAGTCTAGACCTGCCGAGGCTGCCGCTGAGGGGCGCGCTATTGAAAAAGAGGAACCTGCACTTGTATCCATTCACGACGATGGTAACAGCCGTGTGCTGGCCGAGGAGAAGGAACAACCGACGGGAGCTGCCGGAGAAGCTGTAACCGATTTGGTAGCCCCAGGAGAGGCAACTGACGCTCCTGCTGGAAAAGACACCTCCACTTCGAAAAGTGAGAATAATGAGAATTCAGCGGAGGAGTCGCATGAGGCAGACACCAATCTTGAGGATACCAACGGGGGAATGCAACTGGAGGATGTCGGCAAGAATAGTCATTCGGAAAGGGCAAACGAAGAGCTGGCCTCCTGCGATGCTGACATGGTGGCCCAACAAGCGTCAGATGTCACTTCCCCGACTGCGCAGGGTGCCCCTGTCGAAGACGATAGGGGCCGGGTGGATGATCCGAAGCAACC